TGGAAGAGCGATGATCTAGGAGCTCTGGAATCTAGCTCTATCCCCCTCTCCTCCGCGGCTGGGGGATCTCGCGGATCGCAAACGCCGTGCGCGTCTGGACGACGATCCCGTACAGGTGGATGATGCGCAGCTTGTCGAAATCCAGGGGCAGGCTGATGAAACAGGAGCCGGGCTTTGGATGGAAGTACTGCTTCCTCTCGCGATCGAACGCGAGCATGGGCTCGAGCTCGCCGGTGTATCGGTGCCACCCCAGCGCGAACAGCTTGCTCTCGAGCCGATCGTACGAGGAGATGATCTCGCCCGTGGTCTTGAAGATCAAGACCTTCTTGACGCGCGCGTCCCTGGGATCCTCGCCGTTCTCCCCGATCTCCCCGTCCTCGAAGCTGGGCATTTTCGGCGCCACCATCGCGCTTTGCGCCCATTCCTCCTCTCCCCAAAGATTTCAAACGATAGTCCATATCCATGACCGTCGGATTGGGTTTACCCAAAACCCTAAACAAACCCTAGAACTCGATTCCAAGAATATGCTTCCGGCGTTTGAAACTTTTCGCTGGAATTCGCGAAAGATCGACACGGATCAAGGAAGAACGCTGGAATTTCACCGGCAAAAACGAACTTACTTTGCTATGTTCTTGAGGAACGCCTACTCGTCTATAGTTAAAAGAGGGAGTCTACTGTTGCTCGTCGCTGCTTGAGCTTGTCCCATCTTTGCCAAAGATTCGTTGCTTGAAGTCGTCAACCATTCGCGGCAGTCCTTCCCTCAGAGGAATTTTCGGCTCCCAGCCAAGCATCGAGATTGCTTTTGAGATATCGGGCTTGCGCATGTGTGGATCGTCCGCTGTGTTGTCCCGGAACTCGATTTTAGCCTCCGGATCGATTGTCTCCTTGACAACCTGATCACAAGCGGAAGAAGGAAGAGAGTTACTTCCACAGATCACTTTTTTGATGTCATACTTGAGCAAGTTCCAGCATGGTGAATTCACCGGGATTCCCAAGGTTGAATGGCCCGATGTGATCGCTTTCCATAAGTTTTACCAGGCCTTCCACCTTTTCATGGAAAAAACACACACATCAAGGCTAGAAAACTCTTTCGTTTACCAGGTCTGAGACGAACTGAAAGCTCCGAGTTTGTTTTCCATCGCCATAGACTGTCAAAGGCTCTTTACGGAGGGCCTGCGAGAAAGTAAAAGAATGAAAACGGGAAGAAGCTTTTCAACGGATGCTTTTGTACCTGGGCCACGAAGTTGCTGACAACTCGGCCATCGTCCAGGCACATTCTAGGACCATATGTGTTGAAAATACGAGCGATCCTCACCTGTAAACAATGGAACATTTGCTATCGCTGTCAACCTTTGTTAGGCTTTCAAGGAAAGTTCACTTACCGACACATTTGCACCTCGGTGATAATCCATTGTGAGTGTCTCTGCGGTCCTCTTACCCTCGTCATAGCAACTTCTCACACCTAAAACAGCATTGCGATATAGAAATGGAGTTGGAAGAGCAAAAGCCATACCGATTGGATTCACGTTTCCCCAGTAATCTTCCTTCTGAGGATGCTCCAGCGGATCTCCATAAACCTCGCTTGTGCTGGTCAGCAAAAACCGAGCACCAATTCGCTTGGCCAATCCGAGCATGTTGAGTGTTCCAACCACGTTGGTCTTGTGAAAGCTCCAAGAGTTAAGGAAGCAACAAAAAAAAAAAAAAAACACGCGTTAGATGCTCGAAACAAACGAAGAACAAGCAAAGAAGAAAAGGATATGATCGTCTTGACCGGGTTGAATTTGTAGTGGACGGGCGACGCAGGGCAGGCCAAGTGATAGATCTGATCCACCTCCAGCAGCAGCGGCTCCACAACATCGTGCCGGATGAGCTCAAACCGGGGATTCCCAAAGTGATGCATCACATTCTCCTTCCTGCCCGTGAAGAAATTGTCCACCACAATCACACTGTCGCCCCGGCCGATGAGCTTGTCCACCAGATGGCTGCCGACGAAGCCCGCGCCCCCAGTCACCACAATCCGCAGGGATTTGCTCTTGAGCCCCAGCGGGATCCTGGTAGCCGCGGCCGCTGGCTTGCTCCACAGATCCAGCTGCTGATGATCCTCATGGAACGAGGAATCCACAATGCCGTGGCGGATCGTGGAAAATTGCGACGATTCCCTACCCCCGGGCGAGAGGAAGACGAAGAAGGAGGTCGCAAACGCGGCGCCGAGAGCCGCGTAGGCTAGGCTCTGGATCCAATAGCTCAGCCGGCCGATCCTCGCCCCCGCCGCTTCCTTCTTCGAGCTGGACGACGCCATCGCGACACCGCACAGGAATCCCGCATTAGGAAGAACCCTAGTGGATTTTGTTTAGCGCTAAACACGTTTTTTATTTTTTGCCGATGGAAGGAATCGAACCGTTGCTGCCATTGTCTTTGATATTTCATTCATTCATTGCCCTTTATAAATTCAGAAAAGATATGCAAGTGTTGTTGTCCTCAATCTTCACAATTATAATTACTATTCACTAATCTCTCTATATTCTCTGAGTTTTAATCCCGATTTCGTAACACTTGATCAAAAGCTCGTGAGTCAAGCTTTGGTGATATCGCCAATCTTAACATCGCCACTTTCCATAATTTTCATTGTTCAAGTTGCTTTGAAGTGATCGTTGCTTATCAAATCTGTTCTCATGACGATTGCATGGAGTTCTCCAGACTGGTTTCCAACGTGAACCTGTTCTCCTTATGTAAAGGAGGTGATAGAAGTTCCTCTACATCATCATTGAGAATGATTAGCTGTTGTCTTTGCTTACACTGTCCATTTAGCTGCTGGTCACCAGACAAAGAGTTTCCATTTGCCCCCCTTGGCAAGGATTTCATCTCAATTAATTTCAACGCTGGATACTAAAGTTAAGGTTCTAACTTCAACTTGAGTATCGAGAATCCTCTTTCCGTTCTTAGCATCAACCAGTGCCACAAACAACCTTCACCACAATTTGCGGCACAATTGCACTCTAAAGTGCATTAAAGACCGATTGGATAGTTTTGCTGACCCTCATCGCAGGCGTACATGCATTTCCTGTATTCATAAGATAAAGATTAAAAAGTGAAGAAAAAGAGAAGAAATTAGAATAAAATAATACTTAAAACGACTGTCAGTTGTTTCATTGTGTACTTGTGCTTCATTGCCACATATAAACTTTAATGTTTCGACAGTTGTTATTTTACAAATCCGTTCCTTGGTGCGTTTCCATGAGTCCCAACTACCTCCTGGCTTCCAGTAAATTTTACACAGTTAATAAAATAAAGAAAATAAAATTTGACATACCAATTTTGTCCAGAAGAAAATGTTCACACCTCCACTTGGGATCCCACACAATCAAAACTGCATGCAACGGCTTCGTTCGATCCAACACAAGTCTGCAAAATCTACGAGCTTCACTCTAGGAGACCACCTCCTTCTTCCAGCATTAGCCATGGTTTCATGGGCTTCCATCTCCTCTTCTGCTTGAACTCCCGAGCCCTTTCCTCCTCTCCTCTTGCTATCCTGCAGCTTCAAAGCCAAGTCCCACTTCTTCAATGCTGCCCTCCTCTCCTCCTGTTTGTTCTTCCACCATTTGTCTGCAGATAGCAACAGCTTTTTCGGTGGCTTCTCAGCGGTGTAGTCCTGTGGCCTACCATGGCCGTCACTGATATACATCGTCCACGCCATGATCTTCTCGTCATCACCCTGATCTACCCACCTGTCGATTGATTCTAATGCCTCATCCACTGCCTGACTGGGAGTTTTTGTCCCAAACAAGATCACGCCCCGCTTTTGAGTCACCCTTCTTTTGTACAGACAATTCGCGGAGTGGCAGATTTCCTTCTGGGGTGACCTCCACCGGCTAAGGCATTGCATATCGACCATCCTGCTTCCAGTTCTCCTCCTCGATCAACGCACTGTTTCCACGCTTGCTGGATCTCGAAACAATCTTCCACGCAAGCCAGATAGCCATAGGCCTGGAAGAAACGAAGGCAAGCTTTAAGATGTTACAAGCAAGAAAAATTGAGCTTGCCTAGGATGTTTGTGCTGCTGCTTCCACGTGTAGTTTGGCTGGAACGCTCCCATTGCTATTTCAGTATCTCGGCAGCCGTCCATCGATCTTTGGTTGATGCTCGCAGAGCCTATGATCACGTATTCATCATCAGGAAACGGCACAGCATGCTGCCACAAATTAAAAACTAGAAGATATACCTGTTCTTCTCAGGTGGTGGGCTCGTGCTTCCGGAACTCGCGATTACCAAAGCAGTAGAAGCTTAAGTAGCCTCTGGGATGAAAACGTTGAAAGCACCTGCTGGAGGAAAAATGGAGCTCCACTCTTCCCAGACCGAGTGAGAACTTCGCAGGTACACTAGTGCCTGGACGAAGATAAAGCTCCCCTCCAACGTAATGCCACTCAGTGTCAGGCTCGTAGATGAGAACTTCCACTTCGTAGATGATCATAGGCTCTGCGAGCATCAACCAAAGAGGCTGCCGAGATACTGAAATAGCCCCTGTGATTGATCATGGAGCATGATACCCAGGCTTTTATCCGGAAAGCCACAGCCTTCTACCTCCGACCATGATCTCGAGCTCATATCCAGATTGCTCATTTAGAGAGAGCCTCGAAGATCCCTGTCCCTGGCTAGCATCGGTCACCCAAGCTTCCAGTCTGGAATCATAGATAAGAAATGGTAGTGCTTCAAAGAAACCGACCTTGTAGAAATTCCCAGTGGCGTCCACGTCCATGGTCGCCTGGTGGCTGCCAATGCTTGGAGGCGATGGCAGCTGACGCACGCCATTGAATCCCCGGCCAAGGACGCCATAATCTGGAGCTGCGATGTTCCTGAGGAAATGTGACCTTCCAGACCTCGGATATCGGGGCCGCTCTTTATTCTCGCGCAAATCCATGGCTGCTGCGACCGCCTGACGGATTTACGCTTCCAGAGCTCAAGAAACTCGCGATCCGACAAGCCAGTCAAGTCTTCCATTGCTGATGCCCTAAAACCTGGAAGGGGGAATATTCGTTTTGATTCTAGAGATATTTGTTTTGAAGGGGATCGAACACGCGACGGGTTAGTGTAACACTTGGAGCTGAGCTAAACGCCTTTGTGTGATGCTCTTGGCTATGGCGGCTATACCATATTCTTTATAATATATATCATCGCTTCCCTTTGCGCATTCCATTTGATAGGGTTACATCTCTGGATCCGACCCCTGCCAAGGCGCTGGCCATCGTCTCCTTCCTTCGGATCGATCCAAGCAAAGGCGCGCGGCAGCGAGATCGAGAGGCGCAGCGTAGGTTCCTTTCCCCGGCCGCGCTTCCCTGGATGGATCGGGCGTGCGCGCTACAGCAAAGGTAGCACTCTCATCTTAGGGTTGTGAAATTTCCTGATCTGTGGCTCGATCCGCGGCATTCCGGCTGGGATCCGTCCCAATTCCTGGCTAGCGCCGCGGATCGGCGCCCCTCCTCCCCGGAGTGCTGGGTTTTTTTGAGTGCTTGATCCTCCCGATTCTCGCTGAGAATTCCTTCTCTCTCCCTCTCTTTCTCTCTGTGCGTGCGATTGGAGTGTGTTCTTCCTGCGCTTGCATTGATCAAACGGTTAACTCCCCATCCATCTCGATCCGATGTGTCGACCCCAAACTTACTGGATCACGGGCTTTGTTATTACCAGGCACAGATTGAGATTATAAAAACCAGGTCTTTGGTACCAAAGAGGCCTCTCTCCCTCTCTTCCTCCATCTCTCCGAATTGGGTGGCTCCTTGGTGGTGGTGCTGTGATCGTGGGGGTGGTATAGTGGTGGTGGCGGTGGCGGTGTCGGTGGTGTACAAGCAGACAGTGGTGGCGGAGATCATCATCGGACATGGAGAGCTTTGCGACCCCGTACCCGCTCTTCTTCTTCGATGGCGACCAGGAGGTGGACAAGGGACAGATCGGCATACATTCGGTTCTCTCCTTCAAACGGTTCCAGGGCCAGCTGAGCCGCCAAGTTGGGATACCCGCTAACCAACTCTCGGCGGTGTTCGTTTGCCGGAGGACCACGTCCCGGGACGCGGACAAGCGGCAGAAGCTGCCCATCAACGAGAACACCAACTTCAACATCATCCTCAACCAGCACAACCCGAGCAAGGAGAAGGACTGCTACTTCCTGGTGTCGCTCAAGAAGTCCAAGAAGGAGAGGAAGGGCGCGCGGCGGAGGAACGCCGAGGCGGAGAATGTGGACGACGACGACTCTACGTCGTCGCGCGGCGACACGTCCCCCTCCAGCCAGCGGCCCGGCAAGGAGGGCGACGAGGCGTTTGCGTACGAGGCATCGTCGCCAAACTCGGTGCTAGACCCGGCGTTTGAGCCGTCGGTGGTGGCGGCGGCAGCATCGAAGAACAATTTGGAAGTAGTGGCGGCGGCGGTGCTCCCGGAACCTGTCAAGGAGGAGGAAGCTCTGTCCCCGGTGGTGGTGGAAAGGGACGCGACGCCATCCGTGGTAACAACAACAACCAAGGAGAACTCGCTGAGTCCTCCGGTGACGAGAATTGGCGGGCAGCCGCTGGCCAGGAACGCGAACTCGGTGGAGCAACTTGCCAAGTTCGTGGGTGTTATTGGCGATCAGCACATTGCAAGCGGCGGCGGCGGTGGTGGTGGTGGCGTTGGAGCAGCAACGTTCTCGGACGCGGCTCTCACGATGAGCCAAGCGGCACGGTTCAAGGATCCGATCCAGCAGCAGCCAGTTGGAAGGCCGGGAATGAGCATGCAGCGCGGCGTCCCGGTTTTTCCCGACGGTGTCAACATGAGATTACTCACTGGAAGAACCGGCGTCAATGGAGGAGGAGGAGCAGGAAATCTAAGCTTCCAACAGGTGCTCCCGAATTTCCATAACCAGTTAGCGCTGCTCCAAGAGCAGCAGCAGCAGCAGCAGCAGCAAGCCAGGCATTTCAACTTCCAGCAGCAAAGGATCGCGAGGCCATCGCCAGGGAGCTCTTCCTCGATTGCTCCCGGAGGAGGAGGAAGCGTGATGGACAGTGGCTATGGAAGATCGAGCGAGCAGTTCTGCCAGGACTGCCAGTCCTACAAGGAGAGGAACATCCGGCCTCCGCCGTTCCACTGCTGCATCAACGACAGGATCACAGCGGGGTTCCGCGGTCCGTCACCGGCGGGACCGATCGAGAGGCCGATCAAGCGTCAAGTTAAGGCCGCTGCGTGATGATCCGCGATGGGTGGCGAGGCGAAAGATCGAGAAAGAGATCTCCCTAGAGAAGCGACGATCGACACACACTATACCACCATCACCCTCTCCTAGTGCGTGTAAGTTGGCTCTCTCTTCTCTCCCTTTTTATTTCTTTCTTTACTTCGTTTTTCTTTTTCGATTACTTGCTCTCCTCACTCTTTCCTTCTTTGTTTTGTTTTGCCTTGGGTTTTCACTCTCTCTAGCCTCTTTTCCTTCCTTCCCTACTGTGTATGTACATGGAATGTCTTATACAATAAACTTCGGAGAGTATGAATAGCTACGATGTTTGCAAAATATGTGCGAATAAGAATTGATCATTTCTGTTTGCTGCTTAGAATATGTTCGTAGAAAAAATTCCCAGATCGTATGCTCGTTCGTATTCGTAGATAAAGAAGTCAGATAATATGCTCGTATGCTCGTTCTTATTTAGACAACCCATGAAGGAGAAAAGGTGGCCATATGAAGACTAATGAATGTATGTTTTAAAGACTTTAGTGCAGAATGGTAGTGCAAAGGTTGTGGAGCAAGTGATTATCAAGCTGGTCAACGCTGCAGAGGACCAGCAACCTCAAGATGCTTGAATGCCTGGGAGTGGTTTAAAAGAGATTTTACCATGCTCATTGATGCTGCTTGGCCCAAGCCTCTTCGGGACGGGTCCCATGATGATTTTCAACACTGCTTCACAATCTTGCTCGAGAAGATGCCTGTCAATCTGGACGATGAGGCAAGGCTCGTGTGGAGCGGGCTCGACAAGCTGGTGTGGAACACAAGAAAGAGACGTGCAAGAACAGGAGCTAGCGAGAATGCTAAGCGATCAACACAGAGATCTGAGCTAGCTCGTTTGAAAAAAAAGCAGCCCGTAGCAATTGTGGAGGACAACTTGGATCGCATAGAGGATTCATCTGAGCCATCAGCAAATAAGAAGAGAAATTTCGGAATTAAGCGTGCAAAGACAAAATAAAATTCTTTAAGAAAGGCATTATTTTCTTGTGATAAAAGTATAAGTGCACTGCCCGGGAATCGAACCCGGGTCTGTACCGTGGCAGGGTACTATTCTACCACTAGACCAGCAGTGCCTTACATCTAGGGTGGGTTGGTTGAGGTAGTTGGTCTGCCAGTTGAGTTCCTCCAGTTGCTCAAGGAAGGTGTCCTGGCTGGATTAACAATTCTAGAAAGTGACATTGGAGACTAGGCAAGAGAGACAAATCAAGGAATTAGTCTATCAACTTTAAAATAATCATACAACGGACAGGAATCTGAAGTTTAATTAGTTCTCTAATCGATGATAATATAATCCATACTTGTTAACGGATGTTAACGGTTGTTAGGAAGATCGTTTGCTATTAAACATCAGGGCTTAAGTCAAATGTACATCAAATAACTATGGTGACATCCGGATGTAAGAGCCATGTCCCGTGGAACTCCACGCCAGTGATGAGAGGATTCCCAATGCCATGGTATCGCGCGGTGATCGATGACCACCTCCGATTCCCGGCCAGGCACAGGGGAAACGCCTGCGCGAAGCTGAGGAGGTGACCATCGCCACTCTTCAGTGCTTGCGCCTCGATTCGCGACTGGAGCCCCAGGATCCGGCACTCGCTGTCGCGGATCATGCCATAGACGCTGTCCAGCGCGGATTGGAAGCCGGTCCCGCGGTGGCTGTGGCGGAGGAGCACGACGAGCCAGTTGTGGGCGACCCCGGCGTAGAAATCCTTGCGGAAGGAGAGGACATCGTTGGTGAGCGCGATGTGGTCCGCGACGAGCGCCACGAATTCGATGAAATCGCGAGACGATGTCACAGATTCGTGGAGCTCCAGCCCCATGCACAGCTCGCCAAAGATCGCGCTGGTGCCCTCTGTGAAGGACGTTCCCCGCCGGAGCTCGCGATACTCGTCCTCCCGCGGGATGTGGCCCGCGATCTGGTATCCCACCTCCTGGATCACGGCCTCCAGGTAGCGATCCAGGTACCGCAGGTAGCGATCGAACATCGGGAGCGGCATTGATCGCCGGAGCTCCGCCACTACTTCCCGGAACAATCCCAGCGCCCATCGAGAATCGCGACCTTGATCTTCTTCCGTGATTGCGATTTTCGTCGCCATTCCTCTGGTAGCCAGATCGATGAGACCAGGGTCCTCTTGGATCGCTATGTTTGCAAGGATTCCTCTCGACTGATCATTATATCGATCTCCTTCTTCTTCCTGGATCGCGAATTTCCTCGCGACCCCTTTGGCTTCTTCTAGTTCTCTTTCCTCCTGGATCATCCCTTCCAATTGGTCCCCTCTCGCGACTTCCATCGCTCGCCGGGCGAGGACTCTCGCGGCCTCCTGGCTCCGGCACGATTCCAGCGCGTCGTCCAGCAAGAAGAGCGCCCACAAATGCTTGCCCGCCAGCACCATCTTACGATCGTCCCGGCCACGCGGGATAGTCATGCATGCCGCCGCCGAGATCTTGGACTCGATGATCATCTGGCGCTTGGGCATGGAGCCCCGGGCTTGCAGCGATCGGATCGCCCACTCGTCAACCTCTCGGGTGAGCGACGCGTGATTTGGGTGGCACTCGAAAGGAAACGCGCAGGGCAATGGACGGAGTTCAAATTTTGAGAGAGTGGAGAGCTCCGGGAGCACGCCATTGACGCTGGCAGCCATGATCACCAACTTTGGATCACACATACACCGACAAATATACAAATTCTAAAGGAGGAACTTTACAAGGATAGCTTTCCAAGAACTTTGTCACACGGAACTTTGTACTTTTCAATTGTTAGGGAGTCGAGGTTGCTTTTTATACTGCAACTTGCTAGGATTGGAGGCTGCTCGCAATTTTTACTGGGGCATCCAGACGTAAAGTTGAATCCATCCTGCTGTCACACTTTTAAAGACCAACTATGTCTATAAGTTGTACAGAAAGTCAGAAGTACCAAATCTTTTGTGACTCGGAAGGGATATCTTTCTTTGGTAACCTGATTGAATTCAAACTTGAAGAAAAGGAATTTACAGGCTTCACTAAGTTTTCAATTTCTTGTTCCTATCAGGATAGCATCATCCTTGTAAATCAGCTAGTCTAGACTTGCTGTAGTGTATAAGGATGAACTGCATGCATGTAATTATAAGCTCCAATCATTTTCATGCCAGTTTATAGCATCAAAGAAGAAATCAACTGTCTGCTCTCGTGGTGCATTATTTAACAGTTTTTTGAATATTATCCAAAATAAGGAATCATTATCTACTATATATTTTCTGTGGAAAATAGAAAAGTTTTAAAATAAATGTGTTGGAACATTTAAAATTTCCAATAAATATTCCATTTAGAGACCATAAAGCCTATGACACAAACTTAAGTTGTAATCCATAGATGCCATTGCTAAAAGATTATTAGGTTCTGGTATGTCTTGCATTGGCAATGCAATAATCATGCAAATATTAAACAAAACTAGGGTGAACTATTTAAAGAAAACTACCCATATAATAAATTATAAGACCAGACATGAATAAAGATGGTAAGCATACTTAGCCTAGTAAAGAGTTTCTGTTCTGTTGTGTCTTGCATTGGTTAATGATACGAACCCTTGCATATTCAGCAGTAGTCCCACAACATTGCTATATAATAAAGAATTTAATATTGCTATATAGTAAAGAACTTACTGTATCTATTAGACACTTGCTATAATATCTTAGATGTTAGTCCTATTATTTATTTATGGAAAGTGTTTTATAAATTAAATATATCTTTAGAAAGTAGAGAATCTCTTGTCCACATTCAAAAATTAATACCATTCTATAATTAATATATTTTTTAATATCATCTCCATTTTGTGTCCAACTTAGGTTTTACCATATTAATTAGTTGAGTACTTACATCCTCCTATAAGGCCATAGGTAAGAGCATCCAGAATCCCAACACCAATAAATGTATTATTTAACAGTTTTATATACATTATCCAAAATAAAGAATCATTATCTATTATATATTTTCTGTAGAAAATAGAAAATTTTAAAAAATAAATATTTTAAAGCATTTAAAATTTCTAATAAATATTGCATTTAGAGACCATAAGCCTATGAGGTAAACTTATGTCATCATCCATATATGTCATTGTAAAAAGACTATTAGGTGCTTGTCTTGTATTGACAATGCTCCTACTAAGGATAATCATGTATACCCAAGTAAATATTGACCAAAATTAGAGTGAACTATTTATTGAAATCTATATAGATAAAAAAATCTATCCATATAATCAATTATAATAAGGATAATAAGCATATTTAGCCTAATAAGAATTTGTTCCCTAAGCCCTAAAGTAGAGCTGAAAAATGTGCCATATGGCAATGAAGTCAAATGAGTGTAACATGTTGGGACCAAAAGCTTCGATTTAGAAAGTTAGGAGTGGGAGTGAAACTCTGAACGAAGTGCTCAAGGAATAAGTATGAAACAATTGATGAACGAATATTTAGAAAGGGACACAAGAAAGACTGACACATGGCAAATGTTATGATATATAGAAGTGTTGAGACTGAATCTGAGAAGGAGTTTGAAAATGAATCTAAGATGGAGTTCGAGAAGGAGTCAGAGATGGAGTCTAAGATGGAATTTAAAATAGAGTCTAAGATGGAATCTAAAATGGAGTCTGAGATGGAATCTAAGATAGAGTCCAAAAAAGAGTCCAAAATAAAGTTCAAGATGAAGTCCAAGAAGGAGTTTGAAAAAGAGTTTGAAATGGAATACAAGATGGAGTCTGAGAAAGAGTCTAAAATGGAGTCCAAGATGGAGCCTAAGGTTGAGTCCAAGATAGAGATTGAGATTGTGTCCAAAACCAAAATCAAGACTAGGATCGAGACTGAGACCGAGACTGAGATCGAGAGTGAGTCTAAGTCCGAGTCCGAATTTGAGTCCAAAGGTAAAAGCCCAAAGCAATTGTCTCTTAGACCCTAGGGGTTTAGTGAGCTTCAAAAGGATAGTAAAGGGAGGATTCTAGTGGAATTAATTTGGCCAAGAAAGGTCAATATCACCAAGGAATGTTATACCCATATGGTGGGTGATAATATAACTATTAAGAAGTTTAAGGATAAAGTGAACATAGATGGATAAGTAGGGTAATTTGGTAAAGTGTTTAAAAACTAGCTCTAATTCCCTCGGGAGATCGAATGGCCGATACTCTCATTTCAAGTGTGGGTGGCACTACTTACTTGGATATCTGGTGTGGCTCATTAGAACATCACTTTACCCACATAGCTAAGGCACTTAGAGGCAAAAGGTGGGGAGAGTACCTACAAAGTTTGTGTTAGACCATAGTATTTCGAAATGTCATCCCAAAGTCCTAGATTGTGGAAAAGAAGAGGAGCAATCCTCTTATGTAGTGACCAAGGATATGGTCACGTGGCAAAGAAGTCCTAAAAGTCAATGGAATTTTGTGGTCAAGCCTTCGGACCTTAACCCAGTGGCAATGTTAGCAAGCGCAACCGTGAACAGAAAGGGATTTAGTGGGGATTGAAGAAGGGATATTAAGGAAGAGTGTCCCCATGTCTTTGGACATTCTATAGATGCTAAAGTGTGGTCATGAAATGACCACTCATGGATGGATGACTTAATCTTTGGGAGATGAAACTATAGTATGGGTGGTTTTAGACTACTTATAACACAATGGTGATTAAACATAACCTTAATATAATAGGCTGATATATTAGTAGTACCTTTAGGTGTCTATCATAAGATTGAACACTTGGAGCACTCAGACCAAGTGCAAATGCTGAGTGGCATAGATGCCATTCATGATATTAATATGTCCTCTAAGTCGGGAATGAGACTTATGGAGGTTGTGAGTGAATAGCATCTATTGGGTCATCCATAACCCACAAGATAAAGGTGATTAAATATAGCTTTAGCATAATAGGTTAATATATTAGTGGTACCTTTGGGTGTTTGTTATATGATCGAATATGTGGAACACTTAAACCAAGTGCAAAGGCCAAATGGCATAAATGCCATTCACAATACTAATATATCCCTCAAGTCGGGAATAAGACTTATGAAGGTTATGAATGAAATGCATCTATTGGGTCATTCATGACTTACGAGACAAAGGTGATTAAATATATCCTTAATATAACAGGCTAATATATCAATGGTACTTTTGGGTGTTTGTTATAGGATTAAACACGTGGAGCATAAGTGTCACATGTTCAATCCTATGACAAACACTCAAAGGTACCACTGATATATTAACTTATTATACTAAAGTTATGTCTAATCACCTTTATCTCATGGGTTATGGATGCATTTAAGCTCCTTGACTTCCTTTTTATTCAATTGATAAAGGGATTTGTAAGAAGTATTTTACTTTTTCCAACCTATCAAACAAGTCTTTAATCATTGATAAAGGGTATTTATTCTTCTTTGTATACTTGTTGAACAACTAGTCATCTATGCATATACACATAAAGCCATTGTTTTTTTAAAATAAATAACACTAAAGTTTCATATGGCAAATTGTTCATCAATCAACTCCTTAAGTTAGTATTTAAACTCTTTGAGTTCCTTTTCATTCAATTGATAAGGGGGATGAATCACTCAACTAACTCAATCTTATATTCTATTAATTAAGTAGGGGGTAACCCCGCCAACAATTTCTTTAGTATTGTATCTCAAAATTGATCTAATACTTGTTGGATCATTAAGGGTATTTTTTTTATTCCCATCTTTTTATCGTTTCATAAAGAGTAAGCACAAAAATGCTACCTTAGTTCTCTTAGTAAACTATTTTTTAGTAGGCACTAAGTTCAAGTAGGAATCTTTAGACTTACTTCACCCTCTTTATAGATCTTAGGCCTTCACCATAGATCATTCTCCAAGTGTATTCATCAATACCATTAGGTTTCTACTTTATTCATGCAATGCTATTATAAATAATTGAACTAATCCATCTCAAAGATTATATCAAATCACACTATGTTTAAAATAGTAAAATTCATGTCCACTTTCTATATCCTTACTTCAGCTCTTATCAAAGTACTTCATTGGTGCTTTGGCTACTTTAAACAAACTCTATAGTCCTTAATTATCCTAGTTATTGCATTGTTAATTTAGCTTGTTAGATTGTGTGCAACCATAAAATTTTTTAAAGCATTTATATCAATAAAGATCTTAATAGAGCTACCTCTAAGCTTCCTTTGGAGGGCTAGTAAATGTCATAAGTAACTCTCTACCAAAGTTGCTTATGTAATGAATAACTTTAAGATAAAGATTGGATTACATACCTTTGTTTGGACTTCACCTATATATTTTTTGGCCTTTCCAAAACTTCACAAACTCATTTTTAAAGAAATTGTTTTTGAATTTCCCTTTTTTATATATTTCTTTTGGTCTGAATCCCTTGTTAAATATAGACCTAGACCTAGTTGAGTTTGTTTTTGCTGATTGTTATTAAAATGCATCTTGGTAACCACATCTAATGCTTCCTTTATTTATATCACCTATATTTATGAAAAAGATCCTTTTAGCCATAATCACATTCATATATAAATGGTTTCTGTTTGCTTTACTCTGCTCAACTCATCCTTCAAATGCAAAATAACATTTGGGGGAATATAGATTATTTGAATTTTTGTCTTCATCACTTCCCAGGTAGTTATTGGTTTTTCATTAGCCTTTG